GGAATTTCATGGTGAGGTGCGGGGTAGACACCACTGCTCCGAGCTGATTAAGCGTCGGTCGTCCAATAATGATGTTATAGGACGTGTTGGCCTTGACGAGGAGATATCGGACCATAATCCCCCTTGTGTCCGGAGAGGTCCCGAAAGTTGTCAGCAGGTCCACGTACCCTCGAGTGTGTACTCGCTCTCCTGCAAAACCGACTAGGGGCTCTGTGTGAAGTTGGATGAGAGAGTGGAGGATATCTAACCTGAGGAACATCGGCCAATACAAGACGTCAGTCGAGCTCCCTTGGTCAATCAGCGTCTTGTGGACCTCCCAATTAGCTACCTCCACGGCGATGACCATGGGGTCATCCTGGTTGGGGCTGACGCCAGCATAGTCGTCGTTGGTGAAGGTGATCGGCGGTGAGCTCTTGTGCGAGGCCGAGGTAGTGGAGTGGACGCTGTTGATATTGCGCAGGTGTCTCTTCTGGGCTGAGCTACTGGAGCCTCCCCCTGCGAAACCACCTGCAATTGTATTGATTACACCCCGTAGGGGAGCTGATCCTGTTTCCTGGCTTACCTCGGCTTGCACTGCTCCACCAGCGTTTTGCTGAGAGCTAGAGGGTTGGTCCGTGCGAGCTCCCGAACCACGACCTCTGCCTCGTCCTCGTCCACCGTAGCCTCCTCGGTGACCCTGCTGTCGTTGGACATATTGGCCGAGGTGGCCTGCCTGGATGAGTTCTTCGATGCGGTCTCGGAGTGTGTGACACTCTTCAGTGGTGTGATCGTGGTTTTTGTGATATCGGCGGTGTTTGGACTTGTCTGCACTGTTAGGAGTGTGACCTGGTGGTGGCAGGGTGGGCAGGTTGCTATTACTTGCCTCCTCCAAGATGTGAACTCGAGGCGTATTCAGAGGAGTGTAGAAGTCGTATCTCCCCCCTTTGCTTGTCTTAGCAGTTTTCTTGAACTGGCTGTCATTGGTGACCTTCATCTTGTCTTTGTGGCCACTGTCAGGCTCTGCTTGTGATTTTCCGCGAACCTGGTCACGGAAGGCAGAATGTTCTTCCATTTGGATGTACCCGGCAGCATGGGCACGAAGCTCTTCCATATCGCGAGGAGCTTCACGACATAGACTGTCCACCTCTTGGTCTTCTCGGCCTTAGTGTTATTCCATCATTTATCCAAGTGCTTGCTTCAGATCTCCTTGATTCTGGTATGGATGTATATTCTTTATTCAGCAGTTTATCTGTACTTATATCTGAAACACTAAAATACGTGTTAGTAATTAACAATATGTATTATATTTGTCTCATTCAAAATCTTGCTAGGTATTGCTTTCGTCTTTGTTTGACTTAACACACCAGAGGCGTTTGTGAATGCCATGTGGTAGGAGCTCACTAGAGAGGTTTTCATGCCAAGGACTGTCGCAACCCGAAGATTTCTGATCTTGCGACCTATGGTTTAAACATCCTTTTGAAAATCTCATCAATTAAGGAATGCTCGGACATCAGCCTAATCCTTAATTAATGGTTTTGAAATTAGGATCATGGAGTCGCCACCAATGTTTTACTCAAAACATTGGAAAAAGAAAAGGTTTTTTAAAAATCCAATAATGGCCTTGATAATCAGAATTGGGTTCGATCGGGGGTTGGTTACGTGTAAGGAAGGTATTAAGCACCCCTACAACGCCCTTAATCGGTACCCTATGATGAAGTTAGCATTATAAATAATAATAATAGAAATATTAAATCCCCTTTTATTAATAACTATTTACATGCTTGAAATTTAAATTATACAATTAACCATAAAATGTCTACATGATTATTTTTATTATAACAATATTGATTATAGATAAGAAATAAAAAAGGAGAGAAAAAGATTAACTGAAATACCTCTTGAATGAGCTCTATTGAATCTTCAAAATAAGAAGATTTTAGGTGCTTTGTGGCAACCTTTCACACTACAATGTGCTTCACAAAATCTCAAGAATTACAAAAGAGAGAGAGAGAAAAAGAGAGAAATTTCGAGCTCTAAGGAGTCTGGACGAAATTTGGAGTCCTGAGAACTGTGCCCAAGCCTTCTATTTATAGGCATTAGAAAGGGTCCAGAACGGCCTGTTCCAAAATCAGAACGGCTCGCTCTGGATCTAGCCGTTATGTGTTAATTTTGTAACTGGAACGACCCATTCTGAAACTGGAACAGCCCGTTCTGAAACTGGAACGACCCATTCCAAAGATAAGATTAACACACAATTTGGTAGACTGGAACGGGCGTTCCAAACAAGAGATTTTAGGCCATTTTAATATCTCGAAATGGCCCGTTCCATTTTAGGAACGGCCCGTTCCGGTTAAGGTTTTTTAACCCTTTTTTAGGTTTGGAACGGCCTGTTCTGGCTTAGGAACGACCCGTTCCAACCTATTATTTTAGGCCTTTTGCCTGGTTTGGAACGGCCCATTCTGGTTTTGGAATGGCCCGTTCCAGACTAGGTATATAGGCCTTTTTTGTGGCTTGGAACGGCCCGTTCCGGGCCACCAAAGCCAATTTATTTGAGCTTTAGGCCTTCTGATGTCCTATCTTGTTTTTTGCATACTTCGGGAGCTCCTTCCCTTCATAACAGAGGTCCATTTCCTTGTTTGTATGCCCCCAGACGAAATTGGGTGTCTACAAGGACATTTAAGGCTTCAAGACTTAGGGATCTGGCTTCGCGAGTGGTCCATAAGCTCATGACGGGCTTTATCCATGGGCGCTTGGAGAGCACTAGGTCAATGACCCATAGGGATCTTTTCCCTCCCTACTACACGTTTCAATGTCTAAGGTGCAACCCTGGGTCGTTCTTTCTGCAACATGTCCATGCACTACTACAAGATGTATTATCTACATCGGTTCTAGGAGGTAATCTACATCGGTTTGAAAACCGATGTAGAATAGGGCGACTTAGAAATACATATACTTCTACATCGATTTTTGAAACCGATGTAGATTTGTGTAAAATCTACATCAGTTTTGCTGACAGCCGATGTAGATTTATGTACAAATCTACATCGGTTGTCAGTAAAACCGATATAGATTTGTACACAAATCTACATCAGTTCTACTGACAATCGATATAGATTGTATTTTTTTTTAAAAAAATCATTTATTTTTAAAATTTTTCTGATTACCTGTAATAAAAAAATATATATATAAATCTTAAGTTGTTGCATAGGTACAAACATGAGAAAACACAGTACAAGGATACCAAAAAATTCTAAAGATCCAAATATAAATGCACTTAAACATATAGTACATAAAATATATAATTATATACATGGGATTAAGAAAGTAATTGGAGAGGAAAAGCAACATGCCAGAGGTGTTAAACAGCAGAACAAATTTATGGAAAGCCACGAGCTACGTAAAAACAAGAGAAAGGAGATGTTCAAATTATATAGGCAAAGCAAAGAAATAGGCATCTTCCTCAATTTACTCATTACAGAGCCAGGACTACATGAATTTTGAGAGACAGGAGGATACCGCCCATCACTTGCAATCTCTGAATCATAAAAGACAGCCCAAAACCATAAACACATTATGAAAACAATCTATAACCACAAAAAGAAGAAAAAAAAATCTAGATAAAAATCTTAGATAAAACAACCCTACATCGACCACACAACCTTTATTTACCCCGATTTCCTTTTCAAAACACAACGGGATTAGAATTTCCTATTTCAATTTGCACAAAGTGATCTCACCCGTGTCAATCACAGTGGCAACAAATCCAAGCAAAAACTAGATATAAATAAAACTATAAATCAATACCCTTAGAAGAAGACAGACTCAATGCACATAAAGCATTATCTTAAACATTTTATAGTAATTAATTTTTTTTATATATTAATCCAGTGCCAGAAAAAATAGTCTTTTAATCCCAACATAATAAGCAGTCTAAACCTTACACATTTATTTTAACCCTAATATACCCTTATTGTTAATTAAGATTAAGAGGAAAACTAAAAACACTTACACAATGAAGACAAACTAAATAGAAAAGATAATACAAAATAGAATGTATAATGATAAAACTTCAGTCTGATATCACTCAAGTGAGTCAAGTCTTAACAAATGAACAGAAACATGAATTTGGTTGTAGAAGAATTGGATTTAGCACTTGAGAAAGATGAATTTAATATTTAAATATAATATTTATATATAATTTTTTTTAATAAATTTTAGTTATATAAATCATGCAGCTTTTTTACCTTTATATTTATCTCTAAATTTTTAAATCCTAATAAATGTATTACACAAATTTATAGGCAATTTAAGGATTTTACACATAACATTGCAACTAAACAATGAAAAAGAAAAATAAATATTATATAAATATTTTATTTTACCCACAGTGATATTCAAACATAAAAATCTTATGTAAGTTACTCTAACTCTCTGTTACTATAAACACCACTTTTTATATACATATACACAACTCATACTATTTCTACATTATTAAATTTATTTCTACATACACATTTTATGATAAAAATAGAGCAAGTTAGACAGTAATAACAATACTACTATTTTTTTTAGGATAATAATAGTACTACTTAATTACTGCCTTTGTTACATCCATTTTTGTATATAGGTTATTATTAAACAATTCTCATACACTCACGATAAACGCACATTTTAACATAAGCTGCTTCTGAACATTTTGGAAATAAATTGTGTGGTTGTCATATATCCCGAAAGGTGAATTTCTAAAATTGATCTAACACACATCAAGAAAGCATTTCACACCAAATAAGTTTAAAGGGTATGAGACGCTATTCTGATTTCAGTTTCCTTTTGGAGGTTTGGGGATTCCTTGTTGTGATTCTACATCTTTCAATTAGTCAAAGCTTCCATTGGAGTATTGACATTGCACTGAGAGAGTGAGAGGGATTGCGACTGTGAGTGACCAGACATACGCAACTTTTTTTGCCACTCAGAGAAGAAAAAGATGTGTCTGCAAAGATTAAAATGTTTCAGTCATTCTTTCAGTCACAGATAATGTGTTGATCATCATATAAACAAGTAAAGTAATATTTCAATTAGTCTTAACAATCACTGTTAATGATGAATGCAATTTCTTATACATCAACATGGACAACTAGAAAATAGTGCAAAAAGTTATAAGTGCACCTGAGATATCATGATAACATTAGCTCCAACATCTTTTACTGCCCCAAAAATGGCACTGGCTGTACCTGGAACACCAGCCATTCCAGTTCTGAAAAAAAGAATTGGAGAAAAATTTGGAATCACAACTTGGACAAATAATATATGTTACAGAAAACCTTAAATTAAATAGAAATCATCATGCATGCAGCAAAAATGCCAATATGTAACACGACTGCAATTCATAACTCACCCCTCAACATTTACAAGTGCCAGGTTGTCTATGGTTGCAAATCCTTTGACATGATTTTGTAGGTTCTGCATATCTTCATGATCATTAACAGAAGGATGGCAGATCTTTGTTCCAGGAGCCGAAAGGTTGAAAATATTCCTTATCATGATGGGTATGCCATACCGCATCACAGGAATAATTGTTCGAGGATGCAAGACATTTGCACCAAAATAAGACTGTAAAACGCAATTGAAAGTTAATCTATTTAATTTTTATGAGCAGGAGTGTTGCGGCATTCCGACATTAAACTCACCATTTCCCATGCCTCTTGATAAGACAATGTCTTCAAAATCACAGCCTCGTTAACTGCAGAAGATATCATTGTTTATATTTGATCAAAATTCATGTTATGTCAGTCAAACATAAGACAGAAAGCACCATCAATAAGCCAGGTGGAACTCCATTTGGTTACTAAAAGCCTATTCTCATAATCAATTCATTGTTCAACTCAGACACCAAGTAAGAAGCATCACATACCTTTTCTAGGATCTGCACTATACACATGTAGACACCTATTTTCGTCCGGGGACATACAAACAAGGAAATGAACCTCTGTTATGAAGGGAAGGAGCTCCCGAAGCATGCAAATAATAGGACAGGACATTAGAAGGCCCAAAAGCCCAAACAAGCTAGTTTTAGTAGCCTCGAACGGACTATTGCAAAACCGGAATGGGCTACTCTTAATTTGGAACGGGCTGTTCCAAGTTCTTAAAAGGGCCTAAAACCCTAGTTTAGAACGGGCTGTTCCTAAATTTGAACGGGTCATTCCAAGATTGGAATGGGCCGTTCCAAACTCCTAAAAAAAGGGGTGCTTAATACCTTCCCTACA